ACTGTGGCGGGAGGCTGGGAAATGCCGGCCCGGCCCGCTGTCACTCCCACCGCCCGCGGGCACCTAGCTCCCGGCCTCGCGCAGCCTCCCTGCGGCCGGGAGGCCCACACGGTCTTTGTGAGGTGCTTTTGCCTAACTGATTTCTGCTTAGGAATTGAGCGGTCGGCGCGTTCCCGGGGTCGGTTGAAGCCATCCGGGGCGCCGACTGAAAGGTGAACCCGGCCGGAGGTCCCCTCCCTCTGGGGAGCTTACGCTGTGATATGGGAGATAAGACACCCTTAACCGCGGTACCAGGAAGGAGGCGGGGATAGATAAGTTCTGTGTAGGAACTACAAAGTGCTGGGAAGGTGTTCGGGGAAGACCGGACGGATCGATCGCTTCCGCCTTCCCAGTAATCTGGGAGGCTTCCTGGGCAAGGCGGTACTAACCCGGGTCTCAAAGGCCGGATTGGATTTGAGAGAAGAAAGGGTTTGCAGGCGTGAAGGACGTGGAGGGGCAACTCAGCTAGAGGACAAAGGTACCAGAGCTTGGGGGAAGGCTGACCATTCAGGCGAGGGCCTGGGTAGGGTGGGATGGATCAGAGAGGCGTTTGGGAGCCAGATCTTTGAATGCAGTAAAGGAGCTGTTTGAGCGACGTTCCAAGAGAAACTTAGAGCTCATTTCTCTGACTCATGAGCCCGGAAATGTATGCTAGGGCATATTAAAGGCGCTCTTGTGAAAGACAGGAGAGAGAAGGCCCCAGTCAGGAGTTGACTTTGTCCCCTGGATAGAATGTAATTTGAGATGGATTTTGACAGCTTTCTGGATATTTAAGTCAATCTGTGTCCAAGCCAAGCGAAACACCTTCTGCAGAAAGCGCCATTAGATGGCGTGGCTTGTCGGAAGTTATGGGAAAATGTGCAAAAAATAAGCTGCTCTGCACGCACAAGACGTTCCTGTTGGTTAAGTTCTCTGAAATGCAGCAGAACTTAGCGAGCTGTGTGTTAATTGTTTACACTTTGGAATTACAGTCTACACTGATGATTCGTAAAAAAACGAAACAACTAATATTCAAAGTAGAAAGTTGGACATACACCTTTTTCTAGAAAGGCAAAATTTTTTATTAGTTTTCAGTTATGAAAATATTGGAGAGCCAGAAGTGAACGTTTTTACTTATATTTGATAGGTTTTTGAAATAACTAGCAAGTAATTAGCTAACTGTTAGAAGTATGTAATACATTGGTGGAATTAGCCTTGAACTTATATCGACTTTGTAAGCACTTTCATTCATGTTCAAGTGAATGCCTGTTTTCTTGAATGTTAAATTTTTCCTTATCAGAGTCAGGCATGATCTTGGAAATGTGGAAGTACTGGGTCCTTCTCCATGTCTCCCTCGGTCTTTCCCCCTTCCCTTCCTTAACCGCCCCCCGCCCCCATCTTACCTGCATCACTTCCCTCACCTCCTGCTTCATCTTTTGAAATCTGGTCTCATTATGTAGCCCATGCTGGCCTCCAGCTTGCCATCTCCTGGCCTGGCCTTCCAAGTGCTAGAATTAAAGACAAGTGCTTCCACCACCACACCCAGCTCAGTACTCAATTTTTTTTTTTAAGTTATCTTCTTAATCTTGCCACTTAGATTTGATTGCTGTTAACATTTTTGCATATTTCCTTTCTTTTCTTTTTCTGTGTATATATTTTTTTACATAAGAAGATACTATGTACATTTGTTCATTTGTTCATTTTATTGGCATTTTGAGACAGTGTCTTAACTGCAGCATACGCTGCCTGGATAGCCTCAGAAATCAGGCAATTCTCCTGCCTAAGTGCTGGGATTACAGGCTTGGACCAGCAATAACCATCTAAAAGTTTTAAATGTTTCAGTTTTTTGTAACAGTTTGCATTGTTATTTAAAGGCTTTTTGTTTGAAGTATATTTATTAGCTTCTCTGTGAGATTTGGATCCTGTTGCTCATTAAATAAATTTGTTCGGCAGAATGCATGTGGTCATGGAATATGGAGAGGAGCACACAGATCTTTGCTGTATGAGCAGATGTGCTTTTAGAAGGGAATCATGGAGAGGTGGCTCAGTGGTTAAGAGTGAAAACTGCTCTTGGGAGGACACAATTCAACTCCTAGCACCCATGTGGATTGCAACTGCTTATAATTCCAGCTCCAAGGAGAGCCCCCGCCTCTGGCCTCCACTGGCACCTGCACTCATGTGCACACACCCCCTCCCCCCCAGTTTAAAATAAATGTTTAAAAATGGCATTATGGAAAAATTATTTTTATGACTGATATACTGTCTTTGATACACTATAATGCAGTCACCGTTCTTAGCCTCCACTCTACTACTGAAAAATAAGTCTCTCTACTAGGGCTGTTCACATAAGCTTACTTTTTTGATCATGACATCACAAAGATTCAGCCTGGCATTTCTTATAAAATAGGGAATTTTTAAAAATTTTGTCTTGTTTTTTGAGACAGTCTTACTTTGTAGCCCCAACTGACTTGACACTCAGAGACCTGCCTGCCTCTGCCTCTTGAGTGATGGTGGGAATTTTTAAATTTAATTTAATTTTTATTTTATTTGTATGAGTGTTATGCCTGCATGTATACATGTATGTAAATGCACCTGTGTCATGTAGTTCCCAAGGAGAAGGTGTTGGATCCCCCGGAACTGGAATTATAGATGATTGTTAGCCACTGTGTGAGTGCTGGGATTCGAACCCAGGTCTTCTCCAAGAAAAGCCAGTGCTCTTAATTTCTGAGCCATCTCTCCAGCCTTGTTAGTGGGAATCATTTCTTAAAGAAAGAAATGATTTGCTGTAATTACAAAGGGGGCTTTTTGGTTTTTTGATTCCAAAGTAGCTCAGTTTAGTTTATTGGCATTTTAGATTGCAGGTCCTTGTATTAAATCAGTTTTTCCCTCTGTGTTTTACATTCTAAAATGTGTTTGTGTAGTCTCTGTTTTTCTTTTTTTTTGTTTTTTGTTTGTTTGTTTGTTTGTTTGTTTTTGAGACAGGGTCTCCCTGTAGTCCCAGCTGTCCCAGCTGGGATTAAAGGTGTACACCACCACGCCCGGCCCTGTTTTTCTAATGATATATAGTGAGCTAGACTGCTTTTTACTTTTTTTTTTTTTTAATTTTATGTGTATGAGTGTATTGCCTGCATGAATGTAAGTGCACCCATGTCATGCAGTGTCAGCGGAGGTCAGAAGAGGGCATCAGATCCCTTGGAACTAGAGTTATAGACAGTTATTAGTCACAATGTGGGTACTGGGAATTGAACGTGAGTTCTTTGCAAGAGCAGCCAGTACCTTTAACCACTGAGCTATCTCTCTAGCCCCATTGTTCTTGTTTTTTTAAAACAATCTCAGTATCTCACACTGACCTCAACTCATTTCTTTAGCCTAGGCTAGCCTAGAACTTGGGGCAGTCATGGTGCTCGGGTTATGGAGTATGCCACCATACTATACAGACCAAGTTTTCATAAGATAAATGTGAAATAGTTTTAAAAGTTAAGTTACCACCAGGCATGGTGGCACACGCCTTTAATCCCAGCACTTGGGAGGCAGAGGCAGGCGGATCTCTGTGAGTTCAAAGCCAGCCTGGTCTACATAGTAAGTTCCAGTATGGCTGGGGCTACAGGGAGACCCTGTCTCAAAAAGACCAATAAAAAAAAAAAGTTCAGTTACTTAGGAGATTTGGTTTTATGTGAATATTTGCATATTACAAATATATTTACTACATAGCATCTTTGTTATTTTGTAATATATATTAAAATCTTTCTTCTGCTCAACTTATGTGAGATTATAGATTTTTGTAGCTACTGCTATAATTTACCAAGAGCATTATTTTCCTAGGAATTTGACCACTGACCATTCACACTTGTCCTGTCAAGCCATATAAATATAGGTACAGACACACAAATCAACACAGATCCCCTCCAACATTTAAAAAAAAAAAATCCATTGGTAGGTTAGAGTTTCATTTCAGGTGGTGTACTTTTGGTTACCTTTGTTAATATTTTTATCTCACTACTTACGTTTTTTAAAAAGCTTTTATTTTTAATTATGTGTATGTGTGTGCATGTACATATGAGTGATGTGAGTACAAGTACCCACAGAGGCCAGAGGCATAGGGTCCCCCAGGAGCTAGAGTTACAGGCAGTTGTGAGCTACCCAGCATAGTTGCCGGGACTTGAACTTGGGTCCTCTGGCAAAGCAACAAGTGCTCTTAACCACTGAGCCATCTCTCCAGCCCATTATTGCACCTCTTTTAAAACTGCATTTGCCTCTTTTCATCATGGCTCATTTTAATAAAGGGTTTCATTTTATGGATGCCCTTGTGTGTTATACAAATGGGAATGCAATTGGTGATGTGAAAAATGGCAAAACTTTAGTTGGTAAAACTTTGGTTTTTGAGAGCAATTTTTTTTCACGTGTTAAAATTGTGGGAAAGATGAAATCTCCGTGAACCCTTGATTACTTTTGACTTCTTTTGATGTTTAATTCTGGAGGTGTAAAGATCTTGCTGTGTAAGAGTGCAGGTCAAACCAAGGATGTGTTGTCATTCTTTGTTTTTGTTTTTGTTTTTGTTTTGTCTTTTTGAGACTGGGTCTCCCTGTAGCTCCAGCTGTCCTGGAACTCATTATGTAGACCAGGCTGGCCTCGAACTCACAAAGATCCACCTGTCTGTGCCTCCGAAGAGCTGGGATTAAAAGTGTGCACCACCACGCCCGGCCCCTTTCTTTCTTTTTAACTGAACAAAAGACTGATTCTAGAACTTTCATAAAAGAAGGAGCCAGACTGAGATTTCTTAATTTCGTATGGTTTTATTTTTGTGGGTTTTTTGTTTTGTTTTGTTTTTTTCTTTGAGCTGGACCTGGCTATGTATCCCTTGCTGGCCTCAAACTCATGGTCCTCAGGCTTCAACCTCCTTTCAGTGCTTGCTTGGGATTATAGGCATGTCGCCCTCTGCCTGGTAATGTATTCTTAACTGCTGAACTATATCTTAGTCAGTTTTATTAGTACAGAATATGTGGTAGAGGAACAAATTGAGGCAGTTCTGTTTCTCAGATCTGCCAAGGATTGTGAGGAGTTATTGAGGTGCTTGGTTCAGAGGTGGCCTGAAGTTTGCAGCTCATTACCATCAGCGTTGTATGTGTGCATGGCAGTGTGTGCAGGTGTTTATCTTTTAGAGCTTCTTAGTCTTGCTGTCATTTCAACTTTTCCCTTGAAAGGAAGGGGCAGGAGAAGATAGACTTGTGGTCTGTAGCAGCTGTGAAGTTAAACTGGCAGTGGAAGGGAGAATGGCTTGCAGAGAATTGCAAGAGGTCAGTCAGGTGTGAAGTGGTCCCAGAGGAGGAAGGTAAAGCCTGCCTAGGCTGATTGTGTTGGCTGTGTTGAGCACATGCCTACTCCTTGATTATTTCTAATTTGAGATCTGGATACTCTTAATACTTAGAGCACAGTTGTTTTAACTTCTAGGTTTATATTTGCTTGTTTATGTTATGCTTTTTTGGGGGGTGGGCTGGGGTG